TTGAACCCATCAGCCTTGGTGCATGTCGCTCATGCTGTAACCACTGTGCTACAGGTGCCAAGTCATCAGTCTTCACTCCTGTGCTCCACCTTCACACAGTAGCCAAGGGAAGCTGACTGCCCTCCCCCCACCTTTCTTATGCTCTGCTCCTTGCATAAAAACTCAGAATAAAGCTCAGACGTTTTACAGCACAAATTAGCCTCTATGGAGCAGCCTCTTAGTTCTAACCATCCTCATCACAGAGTAGAAGTATTAGCTGTAGGGAACAGGTTTTAGTTCTTCCACTGCTCTGATCCTTTGCTCACATTGTTCCCTGTGCTGGGAATGCTATCATGACCTAGATCCTTTTCTTAGCCTATTCTTACCAGACCGGGGTTCAGAGTGGGCATCTCCTCTGCCACACAACTTTTCTCCTCAAGCTGGGGCAGGTTTTCCCTCTGGACTTCCACAGCTCTCTACTTCCTCAGCACTCAGAGCAACAGATCTCTGATGAATCTGAGTTGTCACTGGCAAGAGTAGGGCTCTGTTCCCCTCTGGACTGGGAAGTCCATGAAAGCAGGGCTCATGCTGTTCTGTGTCCAGTCCTATGCTAAGGACCAACATTGGCTGGACACAGAACAGGGACCCAACAACTGTTACTGAACAAATCAATGAATGAATACTCAGAAGATTTTACACAGAGGCAGACAGAGGGGGACACTGAAATACTCAAACAAAGGCAGAGAGATGAAAAGTCAAAGTCAGGCCCCCTGGAACAATCTGAACCTCTTGGCTCAAAATTTATTGCTCCTTTTCTTTGTTCCTCTTGTCCCACATGCCAATTCTTAGACAAGGATGGAGTCCTAGTCATACTGATGGGAGGGGTAGGTGCTGTGCCCATCGTACTCATTGGTGTTGAGGCAGTGCAGCATGAAGTGGCCCAGGTCGTGTTTGGAGATGACCCTTGAGGGTCCTCGTCCATCTAGGGTCACTGAGTAGGCCCCAGTTAGTGGCTGGTCTCCTGTAAAGGTAAAGACAGAGGGACTAGGTGAAGTAGATGTCCATTTCCCTTTTCCAACAGGCACACTTCCCAGGGTGCTCACTGTGTGCCCAGCCCAGATGGTATAACAGGTGAGAATAGACTTTCCATTTGTGTGCATGTGTCTATACCCTTTGCTTCATTAATTCAGCAAATCCTTATTGATTACCTCTTATGGGCCAGGTTCTGGGCACCTGGCAAGGAGCAATATACACAGGAATCCCTGGCTGGGCATGGTGGCTCATGCCTGTAAATCTAGCACTCTGGAACGCGGAGGCAGGTGTATCACCTGAGCTCAGGAGTTCAAGATCAGCCTGAGCAAGACAGACTGGTCTCTACTAAAAATAGAGAAACTAGCAGAAGGTATGTGGAAGGTACCTATAGTCCCAGCTACTTGGAAAGCTCAGGCAAAAGGATTGCTTAAACCCAAGAGGTTGAGGTTGCTGTGAGTTATGAGACCATGATACTTTACCTAGTGAAACTCTGTCTCAAAAAGAAAAGGCAACTAATATGATAAGAAAGCAAAGTAACACTGGGCGCAGTGGCTCACGCCTATAATCCTAGCACTGTGGGAGGCTGAGGAGGGATAGTCGCTGGACCTCAGGAGTTTGAGACTCGCCTGAGCGAAAGTGACACCCTGATTCATGATAAAAAGGGAAAAACCCAGCTGGGCGCTGTGGCTAGCGCCTGTAATCCCAGCAGCTTCCAGAGGCTGAGGCAGTAGGATGCCCACAAGCCAGGAGTCTGAGGTTGCAGTGAGCTACCAAGTCACTGCATTCTGCTCAGGGGCATAGGGTGGGACTCTGTCTCAACGGAAAAAAAAATAAAAAGAAAGAAAGAAAAACAAAGCAAAATAAATGGAGAGCAATAAAGCAGAGGACAGGTAGGACCTGTTATTATTATATATATAATTTTTGAAACAGAGTCTCACTTTGTAGCCCTCAGTAGAGTGCTGTCGTATCGCAGCTCATAGCAACCTCAGACTCTTGGGCTCAAGTGATCCTCTTTCCTCAGCCTCCCAAGTAGCTGGGACTACAGGTGCTTGCCACAATGCCTGGCTATTTTTTAGAGACAAGGTCTCACTCTCACTCAGGCTGGTCTTAAACCTGTGAGCTCAGGCATTCCACCCACCTCAGCCTCCCAAGTGCTGGGATTATAGGGGTGAGCCACTGCACCCGGCCTATTATATATTTTTTGAGGATAGAGTCTTGCTCTGTCACCAAGGCTGAAGTACAGTGGCATGATCATAGCTCACTGCAGCCTAAAACTCCTGGCCTTAAGCTACCCTCCTGCCTTAGTCTCCCAAAGTGCTGGGATTATAGGTGTAAGCCACCACCCTTGGCCAGGACCTATTGTTAATCCTATTTTACAAATGGGCAAACTTAAGTCACATCCCAGGTTTACAAAGTGTCACTTCCCTGTGGCAAAGGCTAGATTTATCCTGGGCCCCTCGTTATGGATACTTTCCTCTCTCTAGATCCCTGTGGGAGGACTGAATGACCTGTCAAGTGTGGGTCTGCATTTTATAGACCTTTGCAAGCATTTTTTTTTTTTGGAACTTGTGAACATGGAGTTGATGTGTCCTGATGGCCAGGGGTATGAGTAGGTCTTACTTATTGGGGATAGTGAGCATTTAGTGGCTGCACTATGATAATTAAAATCTTTACCTGGATAGCTTTTGTAATGAAAAAAATAAGATAAAATAAAGATAATATCTGACAATAACCAACTAACTTAGGGATCAAGTGTAGGTAGTATCGCCTGTGCAGGGATAGGCTGCACAATCAGCAACACACCCATGTGCATTCCTGCCCCAGATGTTTAATCTTGAATCTGTGAGAAAACAACTAGAAAAATCTAGAATGCAGGACATTTAAAAAGTCACCTGGGCTGGTTAATATTATCAGGAAAAAAAAGGCATGGGAGATTGTTCCTGTTTAAAGTAATATGGCAATTAAATATGGTGCCTGATCACAGGGAAGTGATACTTCATAACCCTGGGATATGACTTAATTGGAACCTGATTGTGGTGGGAGTGGAAGGCAGGTTGAAAGTATATTTTAAAAATTTGATCAGGAGAGCTCCAAGATGGTGTCAGCAGTATCTGTGAAGGAGAAGAAACTCATGGATTTCAAACTAGGGAAGCTGCCAAGTTGGATTTTGATGCGGGATTTCACACCTAATGGCATTGTTGGAGCCTTTCAAAGAGGTTACCACTGGTATTACAACAAGTACAACAACGTGAAGAAGGGGCGCATGGGTGGGGTTACTATGGTGCTGTCAGCTTACGTGCTTTTCAGCTACTGTCTTTCTTATAAGGAGCTCAAACATGAGCGGCTATGTAAGTACCACTGAAGAAGGGCCTGTGGGGGGTGCCTTCTGCACTCCTGACCTTGACCTCCTTGGCCCAGCACCTTCTGTGAGGAACTCAATCATAATTGAATCTTTTCACATCCTAGTGAGAATTAACCTCCAAATAAAAGATGACTGGTAAAAAAAAATTTTTTTTTGATCAGGACTCAGCACCTTTGGCTCAAGAGGCTAAGGTGCCAGCCACATACACCTGAGCTGGTGGGTTCAAATCCAGCCCGAGCCCTCCAAACAACAATGACAGCTGCAACCAAAAAATAGCTGGGCGTTGCGGCAAGTGCCTATAGTCCCAGCTGCTTGGGAAGTGGAGGCAGGAGAATCACTTGAACCCAGGAGTTGGAGGTTGCTGTGAGCTGTGATGCCAACAGCATTCTACCCAGGGCGATAGCTTGAGGCTCTGTCTCAAAAATAAATAAATAAAAATAAAAAAATAAAAATTTGATCAGACTTGGTGCCTGTAGCTCAAGCAGCTAAGGCGCCAGCCATATACACCAGAACTGGCAGGTTCAAATTCAGCCCAGGCCTGCCAAACAACAATGACAACTACAACCAAAAAATAGCTGGGTGTTATGGTAGGCGCCTGTAGTCCCAGCTACTTGGGAGGCTGAGGCAAGAGAATCCCTTAAGTCCAGGAGTTGGAGGGTGCTGTGAGCTGTGATGTGATGGCCAGGGTGACAGCTTAAGGCTCTGTCTCAAAAAAAATTGATCAGGAGGCTGGCTCAAGCCTAAAATCCTAGCACTCTGGAAGACTAAGGCAGGAGGATTGCTTGAACTCAGGAGTTTGAGACCAGCCTGAGCAAGAGCGAGATCCTGTCTCTACTAAAAATAGAAAAACTAGCTGGGTATTGTGGTGGGCGCCTGGAGTCCTAGCCACTCAGTAGGCTGAGGCAAGAGGATTGCTTAAGACCAAGAGTTTGAGGTTGCTGTGAGCTGTGATGATTCCATAGCACTCCACCCAGGGAAACATGTGCGACTTTGATTCAAACCCCACCTCCTCAAGAAAACACACAAACAAAAAAACTCTGATTAAGAATCTAGAATTTTTGGCTCAGTGCTTGTGGCTCAATGGCTAAGGCGCCAACCTCATACACCTGAGCTGGCAGGTTCGAATCCAGCCCATGCCCAAACAACAATGACGGCTGCAACAGAAAAATAACCAAGTGTTGTGGTGGGTGCCTATAATCCCAGCTACTAGGGGAGGTGGCGGCAGGAGAATCGCTTGAGCCCAGGAGTTGGAGGTTGCTGTGAGCTGTGATGCCATAGCACTCTACCCAGGGTGACAGCTTGAGGCTCTGTCTCAAAAAAACAAAACAAACAAAAGAATCTAGAATTTTGAGACTGGGCGTGGTGGCTCATATCTATAATCCTAGTACTCTTGGAAGGCCAAGGCAGATGGATTGCTTGAACTTAGAAGTTGAAGACTAGCCTGAACTAGAGGAGATTCTGTCTCAAAAAATAGCAGGGTGTTATGGCGGGTACCTGTAGTCCCAGCCACTTAAGAGGCTGAGACAAGAGGATTGCTTTAGCCCTAGAGTTTGAGGTTGCTGTGAGCTAATATACCATGACACTCTAGTAAGGGCAACAAAGTGAGACTCTGTCTCAAAAGAAAAAACAAATCTGGGTGGTGACTGTGGCTCAAAGGAGTGGGGCGCCGGCCCCATATGCCGGAGGTGGTGGGTTCAAACCCGGCCCCAGCCAAAATCAGCAAAAAAAAAAAAAGGTTTTTTTGACAACTAGGAAATTTTAATGTGGAGTAGATACTAAGTGATTTTTTTTTATTGCACTAATGAAATAATTCAAAAACTTTATTGACCTATAACCTGATTAGAACATGCCAGAGGAGAATCAATATTGTACAGAAAGTCGTACAGAATTTTTTACATAGAAAACTACATCTGTATCATATACGATACTAAGTGATTTGAGAGAGTTAATGTCGGTTCTTTTACGTGTGATAATGTTTTGTATGGAAATATCGTTGTTGGGAGATACTTGTTGAGGTATTTAGGAATGAAATGTGATAATGTTGTAACTTTCTCTCAGATGATTCAGCCAAAAATATATACATTTTTTTCATATTCAGCAAAAACTACGTACATACATATATATTTATGGAGCATGAGTGAGAGGCAGAGAGAAAGAGAACAGGGCAAAATACTAACCACTGAACCTAGACAAAAGGTTTTTTTTT